CGTGTAGCTGTTGTGTTAACTGATGTTTCGGAGGAACGTATCGCCTTCATCTTCAGGGTAGAACACAAGAAATCCGCGAGCGAACCAGCGTGAGCAGGTGCAACAGTCTGAAGATGGAGGCGATACGTTCCTCCGAAACGTCGGTTAACACAATAGCTACACGGCGCCACATCTCAGAAGACTGCTTTCTTCAAGCTTAAAATTACACGCCATACAGTCAGTGACACTTGTAGAAGATATTGCCAGTTAAATCAAAAACGTCATCAGAATTCTGAGTATCAGTTGATGTATTAAGTAGAACCTTCGATCGATTTTTCGATGCTCTATTTTTTTTTCAAACTCAGCGTTGTAAGTGAAGGAATATCTTTTGATTCTTGTGTGTCTGTATAGAAGTTTTAATTATGAATGTCTCTCACCGCTACTGCATTATTTGGTAGTTGTCACGTATAAATTCAGTGGGAATAGAAATATCGAATTAAATCGCAATACGATATCTCTATTGTGGCCGTAGGTCAGGTGTTTGAGTCTCTCTTCTGTTTGGTCGCATAGGAACGTCAAGATGTTGTTGAATATTTTAAAAATATAGTGCAGTGTGGTCGAATGGAGAGCTAAAAGCAAGCAGTTAACAGTGAAATGTGGGTTTCACCGGAAGTGCGCAATTGTTGAGCTGCAGGGAATTGCAACTGAACAGGTTAAATTTGGGCACGGCATGGCTGGCTGCGAGGCGTGTGTTTATTTGCCTTTCGTATGGGAAGGCACTGCTTCATGAAGTAAGGCACTGCTTGATAAATTAATTTATTCCTTACGTATTTCGAAAATAAACATGTTAGATTTTTATTTCTTGTTTAGTGTTCCCAGTTATAATTGTTAAAATGTGAGAGGTCACAATAACATCCATTTTTCTCAGTAAATGTGTTCGTTGCATGCCATGTTTTAAAAAAATGGGCTTGTTGTTTTGCATAGAAAATCGTTATGTAAAAGCAATAAAGCATAATATAAACCTTACATAACATGAGAATTCCTTTTATTAAGGATTTGAGGTTCTCACATACGTTTGATTATGAAGAGTTCTGTCTTCTGGGGATACAACGCAATGTAATTTGTTGAAAGTTGACCGACGTTTCGGAGGATGGTGTCGCCTCTCATCAGGGCCGAACAACAAGACGAGTTTCAGGCAGGTTTCTTGCTTGGCTTATTCTTCTACCCTAATGATGGAGGCGACATGTTCCTCCGAAACGTCTGTTAGCTTTCAACGGGCTACACACGTTATATCCCAGAAGGCAGAAGCGTTCCTTTTACTCAGTTCGTGGTAGCGTATTTTAGCAAACTTTGTTTTTCAGAATTGTGTCCAGTTGAGCACTTTTACAATAACTGATATTTCTGTAGTGTTCTACGGCACAAAATGGAATTGTGTGTAGTTGTCTGCCCGTTGGTATTGCTCTTGTGACGTGTCGTGCTGATTTGGGGTTAATTTTGTTGCTAGTGGTTTTATGCTGTGAGCTAGTGACAACGTTCTAAACTACAAATAAAGAAGTAAGTAAGTAAATAGCCCAAGAAACATGTGTTTTCTGTGGATGGAACATTGAAGTGCTGATCCCCAGCAGGGGGAGGTTCTGTTTCTTCTAGCAGAGGTGTCATTCCTGTAGTGTGCGGCCATTGAGAAACTCGCGACAACCTTCGGGTCATTGTGAACTAGGTTCATCCGTTAGCTGTTCTGCGTGTATATGCGGACGGCGCCACGTGAATGCGATGGAGGCAGCGCAGTGGGATCTGATTCCTGCCTAAAATAATTGAGCTTTTACCAGACAGTTGTGCCTCAGAAATTCCTGCACCCCACTGTTTGTAATTCTAAATTGCTGCAAGGGTGTCCAAAGTGGCTGCCGTGTTCGCGGAGAGGTCTGTCTGTTGATCGCCGCGTGTTGGCAGCCCTGTCGCGTGCTTGCTGTCCCGCTGAGACATTACCCCGATCGGTTTGTCTGTCCAGACCTCTCCTCTGCCCCACACATCAAGCTGTCTCCCGCGGTCCGCGCCCCCTCCCCCCAATTACGAATTTACACCCGTGTAGCGCTGCGGGGGCCCACTATCACGCGTACCTCTCTACATTGAAATAGGCCACGACCGCGCCCCGCGACTCCGCAGATTCCCGGTCTTTGCATGATGCAAAGGAACCCCGCGGGTTCGAGTGGGTGGCACTCCTACTTAGTGTTAGGGTGGTGCCGGTTTCAGTTCTCGGCGCGGAAACCAGTTATTTCAAATAGGCCACTACCTCTCGTTCTGGAATGAGCCTACCGCTTGGGGACTGGCAGCGTTGCGCTGGGCTAGTGCGGCTTCCAAGGCACGTAGCATTGTCACAGCGTAAAGCTGCCTGTGGGACTCGCTTCCTCTTACTTGAGCCTTTGAAGCTTGAAATTGATTTAATGTATGAAGACTCAGATCGCACTGCACAGACAACACAGAACGCCATATAACGAAATATCGTTTCATCTAGTTTATTGCGAAAATGGTAGGAAACGCACCGTTGGAGAGTTTGAAGCAGTAAATGATTAACATGCTGGAAGATACAAGCATCAGAAAAGTATATTAAAAAATTTTAACAGGCCGTGGAGGCCCATAGGATTGTGAGACGTTGAGGCTCCCACGTTTCCTAGACAGTCGGCTCACAGATGGCAGTGAGGTTAGCCTTAGGCGCCGGGTGTCCTTTATCTTCAGGAATATTCCTGGTACTCATTTCTGTTAGAGGCTGAGTCGACTCCAGGACCATAGTGCGGCGGGAAGGGTTAGGTCAGTTGAAAAATCAAACGATCTCATTGGAAATCGAACCCGCGACCTTCCGACTTGTAGCATAGTGCGTACAGGAAGTAATTATTATGTAAACTGTGAACAGCTCTTGTTACCATGGAGACGTACGAGAGAAAGTGCACATTGTCGCCATAGAGGCCTGGCATGGGGAAGGTTAAGACACGCGTGACGTTGTTTACGAATTAGTCGTTAAGTTCTGAACAGTTAGTCCAGTCGGGCGGACGCCGCAATAACAGGGAGCGGAAAGTGCGACGTGAGCTTGCGTGAGGCTGATGACGAAGTTTGTGAAAATTACCAAAATGGGAGGGATGAGAAGGGGGGGGGGGCGGGTACACCACAGGCCGGAAAACCGCAGAAATGTAGCAGCCCTCTGTCATTGTGGGGAGCAGCCCCCCGGGTACAGACAACTTAGCGCGTCACACAGGTAGTGGAGGGTCCCATGCCATTCTTACGGAGAGAAATATCGTCTCGTCGGGCCCGCGCTGCATGTTCGAGGTCAGGAAACGTGACGGGTGTAGTTGGTAGATCGTTATCCACATTTCGGATTTACATGCTACCTCTGTCTTTACTCCACTTCCCCCCATCGAACCGTCTTTTACCTTGAAGTTGGAGCTACCGCGTTCCTTCGAAATTTTGGTAACAATGTAACTGAGCACACGGCATCACCTCCCAGAAGGCAGTGCTCTTGGCATGTTCACCGATTGCGACAAGATTCCGTCAGCGCGTTATATCTTTCCGACAACAGTGCTACATTCTTTGTACCCAGCTGTGAGGCTACTACGTCACAGTCAAGTGGAAGCCTGGTTAAATGCGCTGATGTTTTGTATTCTGGAAGTCCCGGGATCAAATCTGTCCCTGGACTGCGGCTCTCCGAACTGAAGTCGTAGTTTTTCTTAGTCCCTCCAGGTATATTTCTGGATTCCCTTAGTGGGGGTGGAGTCCAGCTTAGGCCATCCTGCACGTCGGCCACTGATTGGCCTGTTGTACCTAACCCGGGTGATTATGATGGAGAATTTGGCGGAATGAAGATTGACAGGGGAAACCGAAGTTCTCGGAGAAAACCTGCCCCAGCGCCACTTTGTCCACCACAAATCCCACTTGCCCAGGCACAGGCTCGAACCCGGGCCGCCGCGGTGGGAAGCCAGCGACTAACCGCTTGAGCTATGGCGCGGCCTCAGATTTCTGGATAGTGTAGATACCTCAGATTAGACCGGCACCGCTTCTTTCCACGTTATTCATTAATCCATCCTATCATTTGACGTTAAAATGGTGTTTCGTACCGACAGTGTAGAAGAGTTCTGTCTTCAAAGGGACATAGCGCCTCGATTTCGGAGTCCAGGAATAGGGCAAGCCACTGTGAGAACCTCAAATTCTACACACTGGCAACATTGTTGAATAGGCCTACATGTGAGTTGCTGTTCTCACAGCAGTTTGATGCCAGGCGGTCTGCTATATCGTTACGTCGAGGTTCAAGAGTAAGCCAGGCAAGTGCGTTGCGGTTGCGCATAAAATGCGACCGCGCTGTAACCAGCAAGGGGAAGTTCAAGCAAGAGTACACTCCTCTGCTTGCTGCCTGCTTTCTCGCTGGTATCTTTTGACCCTGAAGGTGACGGCAATATGTACTCTAAAATGCTGTTGCACTTATGCAGTCTCCACGGCGTCATGTACCTGACAATGGAACCTTTCACAGATTGCCACAGACTGAATGAATTTTATGAACGTTTAATAATGCCACGTGTATGAGTCACTATAGAGACTATAGATTGGGTTTATTGAACACTTACAGATCGTAATTATAAGTGACTGTAGTGATATCAGTAATTCACGCTCCCAGCACGCACTAAGTTTTCTCAGTCTGCTGTATCTTCTCCGGTTGTCGCCTGGTAACGGCTTTCAACACCACCGATCTTTACTTCCTATGCTAACGTTCTTACTGGCAGGCGACTGTCTCACAACTGACTAAACTCTAGACTTGTCCTGCTTGTAACATCTCATCACGTACAGCACAGAAAGCACATCTCCCAACAGCTCCATTGTTGCGTGTTAAGAATGTGTTGCAGCCATTACCTAGCAACGACCCTTGTATACAGATCATTATTTAGCAACGGACCTACATGCTACCATTGAAGGCTTTGTATGGTCTGACTGCCGGTCGCGACTTTGAGAACAAGTTGGTTGCTGACAGAGATTTCTGTTTGCAGGACGTGGCCGCGAGGGGGCTAGACCTGCCCCATGTGGACTGGATAGTGCAGTTCACAGCACCCTCCTCTGCCGCAGACTATGTCCACCGCGTGGGGCGCACTGCCAGAGTGGGGAGCGCTGGTGCCGCGCTGCTCTTCCTGACACCGAGTGAAGTGCAGTTCATCCGACAGCTAGAGGACAGACGAATCAGGTAGCATATTCCCTGTACTTATAGGTTCACAGCTTCATCGAATCCTGAGCTCCATGAATCCACGTCGCATTCTCACGTCCTGTTTGTTTCACGTCGATTTTAATATCGTCACGTGACTGAGTGTCTAGGTTTGGATTGGTAATCGAATTTACTGAACACTTACAGAACGTAACTGCAGATATGAGGGAAAGTCAGTAAATGGTTCACAAATGGATATAAAACAAAAGCATGTGATATTCGAGCCTGGGAAAAAGAAACGTTTATTTCTCGACATATCCTCCACCAACACTTGATACACTTGTCCCATCGCTTTACCGGTGCGTCGAAACCCGCATCATAGAAGTCTTTTCACTGTTGTCTCAGCCACTTCCTCACCTCCGTATCAACCTCTTCGTCATCAGCAAAACGTTTGCCAGCAGGGTGGTTTTTTAGCGGATCAGATAGACGGAACTCATTGGGGACGAAGTCTGCGCTGTGGGGCTGATGTTCATGAAGTTCCCACTGTAGTTGCTCGGGCTGTATGGGTCTGGCATTGTCATGATAAGCAGTGCCGCTCTTGCCAGTTGGCCAGGACGTTTTCTGCGAATTGCTTCCCGAAGCTTCAACAGAACTTCACATCTTCAGCACGCTTCTGAAAATGGACTAACAGTACTCCTTGAGAATCCCACAGCGCGGTAAACATACCCTTAAACTTTTTGGCCGAAGGTGAACTGGGATATTTCCATTGCTACCCAGTGGTACACACAGATAAACATGTTATGTCCATTACATTTCTTTTGCTTCCATTTGTGACCTATTATTGACTCCTTCGTAACTACGACAGTCTCACTTATACACTCACAATGTCACTGTAACTACAGCACACATAAAGCATTCTGTCTTCACTAGCCGTTGCTTGGTAGCGGCTTTCAACGCCGGATGTTCTCCTTCCTCTGCGGTTTCAACTGTACTCGACCTTCGTTACCAGCTTCTCACTCCTCACAACTCCAACTTTCAGCCGACTCAACTCAGAGTCTATGAGAGATAGGATGGGGTGGTTTGGACTGGATTGATCTGGCTCAGGATGGGGACCAGTGAAGGGCTCTTGTGAACCCGTGAATATTGGGAAGTTCTTGAGAAGCTACACAACTGCATGAAGTTAGTTTGAGAAGGAGCAGTAGATGATATTTGAAGTTTTGTTGCAGGTTGCAGGAAGAGACGATGGATCGCTGTTTGAAAAAGCTGCAGGATGCTCAGAGAGATTCGGTAAGTGCCGGTAAGTGTGACGTACACTGTGCCTCATGCAAGAGGTCCTTTACGTTTCCGTTCATAATTTGTGTTGTTCCAGTCGCTGGAGACCGCTGCTACTGGACTGCAGGCGCGCTTTGAGACCGCAGTGCTGGAGCATAGAGGGTTGCATGACCTTGCCTGCAAGGGTGAGTACAGCTAGTACGTATAAGTTATATAGGAATGTGTAAGAATAAACTTACTGGGAAGGAAATGGTCGTGGCCTGTTTTAATACACCATTGCATAACCTCCGTTGTGCGGAAATCTGAAATGTAGTATAGCATATTATCACGTGAAAATTGATGATAGACGGCGTTTGAATTGGTAATGGGATTTATTGGACTCTTAAACAACTCGTGACTACACTAGTGTTCCCAGTCACAAGCCGTTGCTTGATAGCCGCTCTCAACGGCTGACGTTGGTTGAGACACTTATGCTACAATCAGGATGGTGGCGGGTTCGATTCCCGATGAGGTCTTTGGATTTTTCACGTGGCCTAATCATCCCAGCCACACTGGCTCCGGAGTCGAACAACCCGCACTATGGCCCTGGGGTCGACTCAGCCCCTAACAGAAATGTGTACCAGGACTCTTCCTGGGAGTAAAGGGACGCCGGCGCCTAAGGCTGACAACTTCACCGACATCTGTGGGCCTCGACGGTCTGCTACAGGGATAACTGCCTTTTTTATTGTGTAATGGACGCCCGGGTTTCGGTTTCGGGCAAGGACAGAAATCCTCAGATCAGCATCTCCATAGCCCAGTACTGGATGAAGTAGAGCGAGGTACATGGCACGTTTGTTGGGAAACACCGAGTTGACGAAGGAACAAAGTAGAAGCAAAGATTTCAGATGGGCGTCAAGACACCGTGTAGTTTTGTAGATACGTGCCTGCGTTTTGGAGGAACATACTGTCTCCATCTTCAGGATAGAAGAATGGCCAACGCGCCTTATTTTCGGAGTAAAAGATACCGTTTTTTCTCGGTATATCTACCAGACTACACGGCCTCAAGCACCAGAAGGCTGCAATCTTCGAAGCAGTTTGCAGTGTACTGCACGCAGATTAACTCTGGTACATTTTTTTTTTTTAAATTCGTGAGACAGTTCTGTTTGTTTGTTTGTTAGTTACTTTCCTTCCTCCTCTTTGTGTGCCTGCCGTGACCGCATTGCGTGCCGGAAGTAGCCATTGAAATTGCTAACTGCACACCGGAAACCAATGATAAACTGAACTGCCCATCTTTTCATTATACTGCAGCCTTGTGTAGTCATGCGGTCGCGATTCACCTGCCCGCCGCAATTACGCGCATCAGGGCTGTCCGGTACCAGTCCCTCTCGGCCCTGAGCACTTCGTGACGGGCCAGCTGTACAGCCTCGCGCCCAGTTCACTACGTCGAGACTATACAGACAATGCTCATCATCTCGAACCAAGGTCACCCACCGAGAGCCGCTCGCACTTGTGACAACCCTGTTGTTTGCTAAACAGTAAAACCGCCGCGCGTTTAGCTTCGCAGCGCACACAAATGCGAGAGAGAACAAATCCCAGGAAGTGGCTTTAAACGCGCCGGTTAGTGCGGGCTATGCGGGCGATGACGCTGATGAGACGCGAAATAATTTGAGGCTCTGTAACTGCCTTTGTTGCCGTTATCCTGGCAGAACAAGAACAAAGTTTTGTTGCTGTTGCTGTGTGTCCCACTGTTGCGCGGAGGGTCCGCCTTTTGAGGCGCCGCGCGAGTAATGAAGACAAGGGCCGTCCCCATTTGTCGCACTGACAGGTATTTCGTCTCCTGCCGTTGTTATCAGTTTCTGGTACAGTCCCCTCAGTTTCATGCTACACTGGCCACACAGGGGTCAGACCGGTCACTGACTTGTCACCAGGCCGCGCAGGTGTCAGATCGGTCACCGGACAGCGCAGTGGTCAGACCGGTCACTGAGACATGTCAGCGGGCCGCGCAGTGGTCAGACCGGTCACTGAGACATATCACCAGGCCGCGCAGGTGTCAGACCGGTCACTGAGACATGTCACCAGGCCGCGCAGGTGTCAGACCGGTCACTGAGACATGTCACCAGGCAGCGCAGTGGTCAGACCGGTCACTGAGACATGTCACCGGGCCGCGCAGTGGTCAGACCGGTCACTGAGACATGTCAGCGGGCCGCGCAGTGGTCAGACCGGTCACTGAGACATGTCAGCGGGCAGCGCAGTGGTCAGACCGGTCACTGAGACATGTCACCAGGCCGCGCAGGTGTCAGACCCGTCACTGAGACATGTCGCCGGGCCGCGCAGTGGTCAGACCAGTCACTGAGACATGTCACCACGCCGCACAGTGGTCAGACCGGTCACTGAGACATGTCAGCGGGCAGCGCAGTGGTCAGACCGGTCACTGAGACATGTCACCGGGCCGCGCAGTGGTCAGACCGGTCACTGAGACATGTCACCAGGCCGCGCAGGTGTCAGACCCGTCACTGAGACATGTCGCCGGGCCGCGCAGTGGTCAGACCAGTCACTGAGACATGTCACCACGCCGCACAGTGGTCAGACCGGTCACTGAGACATGTCAGCGGGCAGCGCAGTGGTCAGACCCGTCACTGAGACATGTCACCGGGCCGCGCAGTGGTCAGACCTTTAATTCAGACATGTCAGGAGCCCACGGAAGTGAAGAGCTGTGTCTCCACGCCACAGCATCCCCGTTGCCTTATTAATATTGTGGCATGTATACCCGTTGCTGGGCAACGACCACGCGATAAGCAAACATACAACAGCCGTTACTGAGTAACAGCTTCGCAAACGAACATCTTTGCATGGCAACAATTGGAAACAGCAACAGGAACGGTGTTTTCTGCGCGGTCCGTGGCGAGATGTTCTAAGCTGGACAGTTAGTTGAGGCTCCCAGAGCCGTCACACAGCAAAATACGGTCATGAGGCCCATTGGACTCGAAACCAAGAATCACTGTACTGGCGAGGGCCAGCAGCAATTTAACATCCAGTCAGCCGGAGTCGACAGTTGGAACATTGAGTTAGTTGTGTGACAGCCGCCAGCCAGCAAGAACATGAGCACGGAAGCAGAGAACATTGCTAGGGTCCATCACCAGACAACGACTGGTGAAGACAGCATAGTGAGAAGACTTTATGTGTGCTGTGGTTACAGTTATCTTTGGAGTATGTAACTGTGTGACCCGTAGCTATTTGTAGTTACGTTCTGTAATAGTCCAGTGAATGCGATTCCCAGTGCAAACCCGTCTGTAGGTGTGCCCTTAGTTTATTTGCGGGTACTCATTCTAATGTGATGCAGCTTGCTGCCAGTTAAGCTTCGCGCCGTTGCAAAACCACGGGGATTTTCTTTATTTCAGATTACACTAACGCAAGTTTTGAAACTACAGAAAGGGTCACCTGTATAGGATGCATGTAATATATATATATATATCTTACGTCCTTTTATTTTTGCTATGTGGCACACTTGATTTGTCGTTAATTTAATGTATAAGTAAAAAAAAAAGGGAATAGTAAAGCTATCCCTGTAACAGGACGTGAAGGCCCACAGGGTTGTGAGACGTTGAGGTTCCCACATTTTCTAGACAGTCGGCTCACAGATGGCGGTAAGGTTGTCAGCCCTACGCGCCGGCCGCCCTTTACCCCCAAGAATATTCCTGGTACTCATTTCTGTTAGAGACTGAGTCGACCACAGGGTCACATTGCGGCTGGAAGGTTTAGGTCAATTGAAACAAATCCAATAACCTCATCGGGACTTAAACTCGCGACCTTCCTGCTTGTAGCATAGTGCCTCAACCAACTACGTATATAACTGTTTATTTAGCCGGTCACGCTGGCCGCGCGTTTTGTGGCCATGAAACTTCTTCTCCATCTCGAACGCTGGGGTCGTGGGTTCGAATCCCACTCGAGGTGTGGATATCTGCATGCGTTTATTCTGTGTTTAAGCTGTCCTGTTTGTAAGTAGCGGACTTGAGACGGGATGATACCCCGTCCAAGGGGTTCTACTGAAGGATTACGAAACTGAAAAAGCGGCCAGCACCAAAGGAAGGGCTGTAGAGTCACTGATGAATGAATGAATGGTTTATTTAAAGACTGTACGGCGTCGAATGGTAGTGTGACTAGTGATTAATGAATTGGAAAGGATCGAAGGGAAGCGGTCGTGACCAACTTTGAGGTACTAGGACCTGAGGGAAGTCACGGAAGTCAGGGTGAGGATGTTCGGAACCCGCCTGCCCGCACGCCATGTTCATCAGAGTCTCACTTATTTCCGACAGATCTGGACGATCGGATTTTTTCTTTTGTAACAAATGTGGGTGTATGTGAGCTTCATGTAAGGGTGGCTTATGAGGACACGAGGTACGAATCAGAATTGCATTTGCCAGATTCATAAATTGAAATTGAGAAACGTGGGAGATGAAACGTGTGGACGGACAGCAGAATGGCGGGCTCTTGGGGTTGGCCTTTCTCTTCATTTCAGCTACAAATCCTGTGGGCAGACGCGTTTTTTGGTTGAATAAAATTTCTGTGAAGAAACGGTCTCTGGACCCTTGCAGTGTTTGTATTCCCCCTCCTCCACGCGCCGCGCGCTTCGATTTCCAATGTTGGGGGAGGCCGCGCCGGACCGGACCGGACAGCGATCTGCACTCCGGACCTGTCAACAAACATCGCCCTAAAAAAAGTCACACCTCGTTTACCAGAAACAAATGATGGCCGACGCGCGAACTGCACCGACGCCCTACTATCGATAAAGTCTCGCACTGTGGAGTGGGGAGGCTTATCGATGTCCACTGTTTGTCTTGTCGACAGACCCCGGCGGTTTATTACATGAAGGGCTCCGAATAAATCACAGAAATCATAAGCGCGAACAGGTCGCAAGGAAACAGCGCGTCTGTCCAGCCCCCGTCCATAAATATCGCTGCTCACTGTTGTAACCTGTTGGGAAGTGACATCTCAATATCTCATTCTAGCCTACGTCTCCTGGGTTCGATTCTACGCGAGCTACCCGAAGGAGGCCAGGCCTGCTTTCAACTTTAAGGAGGTTCATCTCGGTCACTACGCTAAGAGCTTCGCCCTCAGGGACCCGCCGTCCACCATCGGGGGGATTGGACGCCAGCAGTGGCAGCGGGGCAGGTAAATTCTCATCCTTCCCCTGGTCCTTGTTTCGAGACTCGTTGAGAGGCGCTGGCTCGGGCTAGAATTCCGATCCGTTCATGCGTCAGACCCGTTGTGTAGAGATTGATGGGCCGGCTTGATTATCGCGTTACGGCGTGACGCGGCCCGATACAGCGTGCCCGGGGAAGTTCACGCGAGGCAGGCGGGTCTCGGTCTCGAGATGCAAAGCGGCGAACTTTGCAGGACACTCTGTATAGTCCGGGCGTGCCTTGCTTACGATAATTGCATTCAATCTGTTTTTTTTTGTACGAGGCTCTGCTACGCTTCAAGCGCCATTTTTCCGCAGTCTAAGCACAACACGGCTTCCGTTTGGTCAAGCCTCACAGCAAACAAGCAGCGATTTCTCATAACGACGTAGCCAGATGATCACAACTCAAGACGCTGGTCTCCGTCGCGGGTTTCCGTGCCGGATGACGTCGTGTGAGATTCGCGATGGGCGAGGCGGTACCGCAGTGTTCATTGTTTTCCCATATTATCAACATTCCACCATTGCTTCATACAGATTAGTCACCGCCTCCCTGAGACGTGCGATAGCCCTGACTACGCAGCACAGTATCACATCCTCGGCCTTTAAATTGGGCCGCAACTTTGTCCGGGCTATAGGCTGCAGGAAGCGATAGTGCGCCGACTTATGCATGACTAGAACATTTGTTTATCCCTTTACGTATATTAATCATTAAACCCACTCTAATCCGGATGTCGGATAATCCGAATCGAAACATGAAAAATGAAAAGTTCTCTTCACAGTTGAGTACATACTTTAAAAAGACACATGGGGTTTAGGAGCGAGAGGACTTTCAGACTGCGCTGAAACCGCGCAAGCAAATATACCCAAGATTGGCTTCAGCTGGATCAAGGTGCCCTGGATTTCAGCTTCTGACAGAGGAACAAATTGCTGCAGTGATACTTTTGTATTTATTTTCATCAGCATTGCCTGTATCATTGTTTGTTTTTTCTATTTTTTTTTGTTTTGCGGCGATTTTTGCTTCATTAATCCGGATTGGCAAGGGTTTACTGCATATGCTACCTGTTTAAACATTAAAGAAAAATTTCGTTTTGCCCACACAGTGTGTTTGTATGTTTCGCGTGATTCACACAATAACTAGTTGTTGTTTCCCTAGAAGGCGTTAACCGGTTGGTCTTTGTAGTGGAGACGCCGTGTGTTTACTGTGAGGTAGGTACCAAATTTAATTTTTTTTTTTTTTTTACCGATGCAAGTAAGGAGTTTTGTCTAGAAGTAAACACAGAAAAAACTCAGTATATGTTACTGTCTCATCACCAGAATGCAGGGCAAAATCGTGACAAATAGATTGGTTTTGAAAATGTGGCACAGTTCACATATTTGGGGACAATAACAAATCAAAATCTGAATTCAGGTAATTCTTGCTAGCATTCAGTCCAGAGGCTTTTGTATTCTCGTCTGCTGTCTAAAAACATAAACATTAGAATATACAGAACTATAATTTTGCCTGTGGTTCTGTATGGGTGTGAAACTTGGTCTCTGACATTAAGGGAGCAACATAGACTGAGGGTATTTGAGAACAGGGTGTTGAGGAGAATATTTGGACCGTAGAGAGATGAAGTGACAGGAGAAAACTGCATAATGAGGAGCTTCATAACTTATACTCTTCTCCAAGTATAATTAGAATGATCAAGTCAAAGAGGATGAGGTGGGCAGGGCATGTAGCACGACTTGTGGCGAAGAGGAATGCGTATAGGATAGTGGTGGGAAAACGAGAAGGAAAGAGACCACTATGAAGACCAAGACGCAGGTGGGTGGATAATATTAAAATGGATCTTAAAATGCGGTGGTATGGACTGGATTGTTCTGGCTCAGTGGAGGGCTCTTGTGAACACGAAAGTGAACCTTCGGGTTCCATAAAATGCTGGGAAATTGTTGAGTAGCTGCACAACTGGCGGCTTCTCAAGAAGGGCCCAGGTCCCTGGGGTCAGTCAGTCAGTCAGTCGGACGAACTTGGACTTGAGAGCGGATGACAGGAGGGGGGGGGGACGCTGCTGACGCAGGAAGCCGTGGACAGATTCTAGAAACGCCGACAGATCGCACGGCTTCCAAAAAGGGTACGGGCGCCGCCTGCTAATTTTCTTTGTACATTTAATTACTGCGCGCGGGTTATCGACGCGACATTTGAGTGGCAGAAACATGTATATACGGCTATAAATTCAGATTTCCCTTGGAAAAATAAAACTGGTTTGGGGAAAATTAGATGAGGAAAAAGGGAGACGGTAGCTGATGAAATTTCAGTCCCTGGGACTTGTGTACGCCCTGCGATTCTCTATTGTTTGTTTAGTAACGCACGCAGCGCCCCACCCTTTTCCCAGAGAAATTAGATTTGGCTGTGGCGAGCTCACAGGCCTGCCACTCTTATTCTCTCAATTTCCCGTTCTTTGGAGAATGTCCCGCATCTCTGTGGCGAGCGTTCGCTTCCCGCGGAGTTTCAGGTTAGTTGGGGACCGCAGTTTGACTCCCTGCAAGGGCAGTACAGTGTTCCTCTTCCTTGTAGAGCCCACCTATCTCCAGCTGGGGTGAAGGCTATAGTTGTAGTGTGACTCTCTAGAACGAAGGAGCTTATGAATATGTGGACCTGACCTCCCATATCCTTCATACGCCTGCATGGAATAGCAGCTTGTGTCTTGGCTGCCATGGCCTTCCTCAGTTCGTTTGTTAGCCTCGCCTTTGGAGTTTGCTGGAAGGGGTGGAGGCGGTTTGCTTCTCGACGGGCGAAATGGCTTCCTCAGATTTGAGGTCCTCAAGGCGGCGTTGGGATGGGACGTCGCGTAGTCCGGTATAGTACTCGTAACGTTTCGGAGGAATTTGCTGCCTCCAACTTCAGGGTAGGAGACATACCCTAAAGATTGAGATGGGGCCATTCGAAACGTTGTTACTTATCTACCAGACTGCACGGTATCATCCCAGAAGAGCGTAATCTCGATATATGGCGTCTTCTCTGTTTCGACACGCTGTGTTATCTTCGGCTGTTGGAGTGACATCTTTCTTCGTAGTAAGTTGGACGCAGTTTGATCAGTCTACACGACTCTACAAGGAAGGATACCGAGGCAGGGTCATTCCGAATGCCACTGTTATGGGTAGGCAAGTGTGGAACCCCATTTGTATGCTGCACGCCACTGACCGTCGCGTACTGCACGCCACTGCGCTCGAAGATTAATATTTCTTTACCGATCTTTTGTTTCATTACGGGAGCTAAAAGCAGCCCCTGCGGCTTCTCGTCATGTAACAATGTGACGTTAATAACCAGTGCCCCACGCCGGGTCATCCACTGCAGGAGCGTCATCTGACTGCCTCCCCCTCCCACTCCCCCCACCCCTCTCTGGGTGTATCTGTGTGAATTGCCCTTCGCTTTTGACGTGCTCGAAACGAAAAGTCGACAGAAATTCTGATGTGAACGTGGCCATGTTAACCCCGTCGGCTGCCTATCCACATGCAGCTGATCGGCGAATTTTACCGAAATTTGGTGGCACATTCCAGTGACGATGACGGACGCTTGGCATGAAGACGCACGGAGCGCTTCTGCACATCTCAGGAAATATTAATCTGAGCGAAAGACGTTTTCAAACGAAATGAAGGACACTTTGTGTCCGATACACCCCCCCCCCCCCCCACCCCCCCCCNGACAATTACAACACAGAGACTACACAGCTGCCCCGCTGTGTAGTCTCTGTGTTTTAAGACTTATTCGTCCTGCCCCTCTGCCTCTATATTCCCTATTTAATTCCCTCCTTTATTTCCTTTACGCCCTATGCGTCTATCTATCTCTCGATACATTCCCTCGTTTCGGCGCTTGTTTGCTTTTCCGTCCTATCTGGACTCCTGCATCGTTGTGTTCTGCAGTGGAGCAATTTTGTGTTCATTATTAAATTACTTTCATAATTATCGCGGCCGGAACGCCCTCTGTGAAAAACTGCAATCCTGAGCCTCGCCTTCTGTTTGCTGTGCTGAGGAATCGACCCCGGAACCCCCACTTCTGAGTTTTGTTGTATACTTTTGTTTCAGAACGTCACGCGATAAAAAGGGATCCAGCTCTGAGCTCGGACAGGGCTACTCAACTTTGACACATTTGGTGACATCAGAGTTCTCCAGCGGACTGGAGTCTGGCCGCAAAAAGAGACGCAAAGGGAAGCAGTGACAATCAATAAAGTGGTTTGTGCTGCCGTACCTGACAGACTGTTTCACTGTCTTGTGCCACCAGCTGTACCTCACGTATCGGATTCCTAATCCGTGAAGATTTCCGCCCTTCATTGCGCCTTATAATCGGTAATAAAGCGTGTCAAATTAAAACTAGTTTTCAGGGTTGCTTTACAAATGACACGGCTCGCTATTGTCAACTGTTTACGGCTCACAAAGAGGCTATTAGATCCCAGGTTAATGAGAGTCTCGCTTGATTGATGACATCTGGTGCACGTGAGAAACGAGCCGGCTCAACCCAATCACGCTACCGTAACCTGTATCCATTTATACTGTCTACCGGCCTATTCCCACTCCTTCACGTTCACCGAAGGTCACGATCGAATCCGGGAGGCCCCGGGTTCAGTTCTCGGCGTCGTCATCACCTCCAAGGCAAATGCCGGGTTGTTACCCGACGCACCGCTTCCTTCACATCCTTTTATGTGTGAGCCGAGCTACCTATGTAAACAAGTAAATAAAGTAAATACTGGTCATTCTTGTCCAGCTTTGAATCTCGCCTGTCGTCCTCAGTGAAGGTTTTCTGTGTGTTCCTTGCCCCTTGCACCAGCCCATCGCAATCTCCCGAGCACATTCCTTTGTCTCGTTGCCGCTTTACTTTCAAGGGCCTCAGCACTGGCGTCTAAGAGGCGCCGTTGCTCTAAGCTACGTCTTGCAACGTTATTGGCTCGATCACAGCCCCTGCCCCACACTCAGTATCCATAGAACGTATTTCCACGCCCATTTTATTTTTCTACCCTGAAGATGGAGGCAGCGCATTTCACCGAAACATAGGTGACGTTCTGCCAAACTACTTGACAGCACGGCTTCATGTCACCTATAACAGCTTACATACAAGAGTCGTGTAGACCAGTGTTTCTCAACTGGTGGGACTTGATGGATAGGTGGAACGCGATGCACGTACGTACATAACTATGAAGGTAGTCTTGTCGGGAAAGGAGGAGCCCTCTTTCGGCTAGGTTGAGACATGGTGGTAACGCTTTTGAATCCTATTCAGAAGATGCTGGATTCGAACCTTGCTGGAACATAGACTATCCTGACAGACAACTTCCGTTGTTTTTCCTTATTCTATCCAGGGAAAGTGCCGGGGTACATCACCTTCCAAATGCTTTCCAGTTCTTTCTCTTGTCCTGCAATTGGACGCTGACAGCATCGTAATGTAAACCCCCCCCAACCCAGTTTGCTGGAGTTGGAGAACGCTGAACGGGACCAAGCTTTCCTGACAGCTGGGTTCGGAGTTTTCTCTGAGATGAAGATATGACGCCGTCTAGTCCGCTGAAAGCCAACCGACGTTTCGGAGGAAGGCGGTGGCAAACAGAGCTCTGCTTCACGCTCATTTCTTGTCTGACTTATTTTTCGACCATGAAGATGGAGGCGACATGTTCCTCCGAGACTTCCGTTAACTTTCAACGGACACCACGTCGCTGTATCCCAGAAGACAACTATACTGTGACATGTAGACCCATACTCAGGTAACAGCTGTGTAAACAGGCGACAGTACAACAGCCGTTGCTGTGGGCAGGCTGTTTCCCCGGCAACGAGAGAACACGCAATTATGGAAGAACCGTTTTCAGTGCGGTCCGTGCCGGGGCTATATAACGAGGACTAGTAATTCAGTTGTGGAGTCTCAAGGGGCTTGACACCAAGACGAACTGGTTGGCTGTAAACCGACAGTGGTAAAGTAACTCTGACTTTGCCTTTGAGTTGTTGAGTCAGTTGATAGTGGCAGTTGTGAGAAGTGAGAAGCTGGTAGCTGAGGCCAGGGACAGTTTGGGAACCCAGATTAAGGGGAACGTCCGCCACTAGAAGCCGCTATCAAGCAACGGCTAGTGAAGACTGAGAAGACTTTATGTGTGTTGTAGGTCCAGTGGTCTTTGGAGTGTGTGACTCAGTGAGTCTGTCGTAATTATTTGCAGTTACGTTCTGTAAGTGCCCAGTAAATCCAGTCCAAACCTCGACTGCAATCACAGTCAAACGCGTGACAGTAGTATTACTCGATACGCCAGGTACTCATTTTAAACCACGAAGGCGGAACAGGTGACAACATGGTGAAGCCTCGTCTCAAGAGAGTGCGGAACTGTTGGGAGGAAATATGCCTTGCACACAGGCCTTGTGCTGTCTGAAACGGTATGTATGGTGTAACAGTTTCCATCGGCCTCTCCAGATGTCTCGTCTAGAATTACAGGACCTCTTGAGTCTGGATTCATCTGGTGATTGATAAGATCGATGAAGTAACCGGGCCCTGCCATCTCTGAGGAGTTACAGCTAACTATTTAACTCTTTAAAGACTCAAAGTAAAAGTTATGTTACGACCGACGATCAGTCGGCCAGTCTGTCTTGGTGTCAAGACCCCATCTGGGGCCCAAGACCAAATTTTTATTACTTTCGGACAGTTGTGTGTTGTTGTGGGGCGCCCTCTCTTACAACAGGGAGGGTTCATCGTTTACAGACGCTGCTGGCCCTCGCCAGCGCAGTCATTCTTTGGTTTGAGTCCCATGTTTTACTGCCTAAGATTCGAGACTCCTCCAACCTGGACGGCCACGACCCCGTAACTATATCCCCCAGGCACTGGGTTCCATTTTCGTCGCCTCCTACGGCTTGCAGGGCTACAGTGGAGGTATTCGAACACGACTCCACCGCGGGACTCGGTGTGACTGATTCGAAGTCGAAGTCTTAACCTTATACACACTGAATTTCGCCTAAATAACATAAGAATCCAGTCCGTACCTCACAGGAAACATATTACGTCTCCGCTACAAAGCCCAACCGGTTACTGCTGTGTAGGGAAACAGTCGCTGTTTACTGTGAAAACCGTACGGAAGACACAGATACACTCTGTGGGCAGAATGCAGTACTTTAAAGCGGGTTCTCGCGGGTTAAATTAGACCCTGTACGTTGCCATGGAAGTACAATGGCAGAAGGTTTCTTGTGCTGAAGTGTGGCACTGCTGTTATCCGGTTCCTTAAAACAGGCCACGACAGCAGCTTCATCCTGTTCCCACATTTTGGTTGGGTTGATTAACGGCCGACTGCCGCGACAAATGGTGATGGATTGTGTCAATTGAGTATTTTCCTTTTGTGGCGTTTAAATACGAATTCACATTACACCTTACACGGATATACTGCAGAAAGCCGAGTTGCAGGTTCGTATGTTGTTAGCGCAAAACATGCAGATATGCAACACAGCTACTTCTTATACCGCAGAATCTATGTTGTGATGGGAGTTAGGAGCGCTACATAATTTTTACTGTAGAAATAAAATGCGGTTGTTTGTTTCAAGTTGCAGAGAAATCGCATACAACAATGACGTTGAATAGAAGTTCTGCACTAGCGGAAAGTTCACGTTGAGCTCATTGTTATGTTCGGTGGCGCAAACTTGCAGTTTCCCATATCTGCATCCCAAATATGCGAAACACAGGGTCCATTCAAAATACTGCAGGCACAATTGGTTCATTGTATTTATTAAGCATAGTACTTTTCCAGTACGTCACTTCCGCAGTGGAGCCAAGTGAATGTTGCCACCAATGTCGATTCAGCTATGTTCAGGGGAACATTTTGCAGTTCGTAACTTCTGCAGTGGAGCCTAAGCCGTTACCGTTACTGTCTGTTCAGTGGTGTTCAGCTGAACATTTCTGCAGTTCATTCCTTTTGGAGTGGAGCATAATCCGTAGCCGCTACTTCTGTTCAGTGGTGTTCAGCTGAACGTTTCTGCAGTTCGTTCCTTTTGGAGTGGAGCATAATCCGTAGCCGCTACTGTCTGTTCAGTGGTGTTCAGCTGAACGTATCTGCAGTTTATACCTTCTGTAGTGGAGCCTAATCAGTTGCCGCTGCGTTCTGTTCAGCCCTGCTGCAGCAGAGCCGAATATGTTGCCGCTACTGTCGGTTCAGCGGTGTTCAGCTCAACGTCTCTGCAGTTCGGTACTTCTGCAGTAGATCGTAGCGGACCACCAGGTGCGTTCAGAATGCTGCTACCACTGTTCGCTCATTGTTGTGTTGGAATCAAACGGCTGGGGCCACAATAGGACCTGGAATGCGCATACTGCTTCTGTTAAAACATCTCCCATTCAGGTTTTTATTGGCTACAAAACATTAATTGAGCGCTGCTAGGAGATTGCCTCCAGCGGTCTCATTGTCTCCAATAATTGAAAACTTTTGTGGGCCCGTGCAACAATGGGGCTACCTGTCGTAGCGCCAATCACACACTCTCTCGTCTAAATCAGCTCTGCGGGGGGCGACAGACGTTTGGATTTGATTATACGAAAGCATGCGAGATGAAGTCCATCTTATTAGTGGGATAATAGACATTGCACCAAATTAACATTGTTGGTCCATCGCCTCTAAATTTTGTCAGAAAAGCTATTGGCCATGACGTAACTCAGGCTTCTCGAAGCGGAGGCCCGGGTTAAATCCCAGGATCGTACTTGTATTCTGTGTCTGAAACATCAGATAGTGACGTCAGAATTAGAGAGCTGTGTGTGGGGCGTGCGGTGCAGCAAATGGAAGTCAGCATACACACGCCTTTACCGTGTCGTGGTGCCCAACTTCCCAGTCACGGGAGCATGAGACAACGAGGCCGGTTTCGAGAATTGTGACGAACTGTCTCCAGCGCAGTAGCGACTGTGTGCGCTTAGTTCTCAGAAGGCTAAACAGAGATGTGATGTGTTTTCTGTGGGTTAGAAACCAACGTATTTGAGAGTCCGGTGTGACGACACTGGTACCCAACGTACGTTGCAAAATAGAATTAGTAACTGTCTATTGATGACGTAATGGTATGCGTCATTGACTCTTGAGGCACGGTATCCCTGTGTACAATGAGCAGCGATTGTTTTCCTAAATAAACTGATCTTTGTAACGGCGGTGCGGAGTATTTTCTTGGAGGTCGGAGCCGTGATCCAGACCCCATGGAAGACGTTATGTTAAGAGAGAAAACAGAACAGCTGTACGGAGTACAGGTCTAAGAATGTACTTGTTTCT